TGTTTGTAGCTATAGTGAAAGCACAGAGAGCTGAATAACCAATAACGTTTTAGTCTTCCATAACTATGCTGAACTATTACTGAACATTAAATTAAAAAAAAAAAAACCTACATAAAAGCGACGGTAAAGAGCTCTGCTGCCATCTAGTGTCTACCTTTGTTACTTACAACCTCTAAACGAGATTGCAAGTCTCTAAACAAAATCATTCCTTTCCAATGAAGGAAATAGTTTGCATGCTGACAGAAACAAACAAAGCAAATTACAAAAAGAAGTATACAAAGCACACAAGAAGACACTGCAGGTTGTTCCCAAGCTTTTCTCAAAGTAATGGGATGACAGCTCCCAGGATTCACAACACAATGCTGATGCAGCTCAAATAGGTGGTTTGAAGAAAGCCGTTCACAAATTCTGCAGACATTCCGTGGCTTGATTCACACAACACACTGAACCAGGTTAGTCAGGAGTCTAGTATGTTGAGGATACTCACTAACCCAATCAGTCAATCAGTACCAGGGCAAGAGAGGAGCAGTTACAATTCAAACTTTTACCATAACAAGCATGAGTCAAACTACATTGCCCTCTACCCAGTCAATCCTCCAAGAAAGCAAGACAGATATAGAACAACCCAGAACACAAGATGTGCCACCACAACATTTGCTGCCAAGACCCTTTAGCCCAGAAGATGCCTCCAAACCATGATTGGCTGGTCTAAGTCACACCTGATACACATTGGGCCAACGGGGAAGGGGACATTGACATAAAGAAGCTTGGCCTGGACTGTCTTGGTGCAAGAGCTTATTGGATATCCATCAAGATTGGAGGAAGGAATCTGTGCTTCCCAAAGTGGTTGCCTTGGCCCAGTTGGTATGACTGCTGACAGATCCAAAAATAGGATACTATGTATTAACCTCTGTTCTAAAAGCACTGGCCACACTTCACAATCAGTATTCTATAATTAAAGCCTGCACTAAGCCTGAATTGCACTGCTTAAATTTATCTCCATGGATCTGACACAGTCCTATCCATCTGCTAGGAAATGTGCTGGCTCTAATGGAATTCATTGGAACTTTACATGGAAATGGTGTTGTCCTTAGGAGTTCTGTACTTGCATTGATTTATTATGTGCCATCAAGTTGTTGTCAACTCTTAGCAACCACATAGATTTCCTCCATGACAACCTGTCCCTAACCTGGTCTTTCAGGTCTTCTAACAGTGCACTCATCATGGCTGCGTGCTTGTACAGTGTGACAGAATTGCAAAGTACCTAGCTCTGACTGAACAAGCTTTATAAACAATGTTTTGTTGCCCATTAGAGTACCTTGCAATCTTCACAAAACTAAGCAAGAGGACACTCCTTGTCAGAAAATAGCCAGTCTCAAGATCATCATACCAGACTGCGGACAGCCCTTTATTTTTCACTACTCAAAAATAATGGAATAATTAAAAGATGTTTTTTGCAATATTGTTGTTTTGAACTGAATTAAATATACTGCTTGTATTCCTAGAGTTAGGCAAATTGTTCTGAGCTCGAAACAGCTCTTTCAAGAATTAAGTTGGAAATGCAGCACACTGTGGCAGTAGCAACACCTGGAGAGTTTTTCACAGCTACCATTCACAAACACTGCCTGGCTAATATCACAGACATACATTAGACAAAGTTGTGGAGATTAAGCAGCTATTGCATTAAGTTTAAAGGTGGCAGACAGTGATTGCAGGTGGTGATAGATGGTGGGTACAACCTTTGTTTTGTTTTTAAAAATGGTGTGCTTAAACAAAACTGGAGGTGCCCAACCTACATTTATTGATCTCTGCTATTAAAATTCAAGACTACTCTAGTATTTAGTTCCATATATTGTTCTTTGATCCCATGGAATATGATAAAACAGCAATAATGCCATTTTCCTAACAAAGTCTTCAGCTTGTCTAGAATTAGGATCCACTTCAATTTACAAGATGAAATGGATGCTGTCAGCATTTCAAGGTAGACCAGACTAGGATGCTAGAGTTATGAATGCTAATACAGCACTGCTTTATTATAAGGTTACAGTAACAGAATCTCGCAAGCCTGAATGCATTTCCCCCTCCCTTATCTTCATGACAACTAGTGAGGGTTATGTCTGAGATACTTACTCAAATTACATTTCTGCCCTGGACTTAGATTTCTTTTATCTGATGTTGCCTTGGTTGCAGCTCCTCCTCCTATGCCTAAAATAACAAAGCCTACCATGTAGCCACTAGATTTCTAGTGGGTCTATTTAAACATATTACACAAATATTTGATTGATTTAGGTGCCACCTGACTCCCAAACAACTCTGGGCAGTATTCAGCCAGGTAATAGTGGATTCACTTACAAACCATGATTTAATGTGTTGCATGGATTCAGCCAGTGCACAAACAGCAGATTAAAAGCAGATAAAAAGGTAAAATCTCCTCCAAGTCAGACTCAATTTCTGGTTACTTTATGGGCAGATCTGTGCAGTTTTCTTGGTAGCAATACTGTATAGAAATAGATTGCAGCTGCCTTTTTTCCCACTTGCCAGTCGAGCCTACAGACCTGCCATTCTGTGGAGATCTTATTCCAGCCCCAACTAACCTTCTCCCCCACCCCCGAGCCTTAGCTTCTAAGCCCAGACAAGGTGGGTTTCGCTTCCAAACCCAGCCAACCGCGTGCTGCTGGATAGAAGAGATTTCTGCTTCACACAAAGGAAAATGTAGTGACAGTAACACTGTGATATGGGTCCAAATCCATGAGCTGAAGGATAGACGAGACCCTTAGATGCATAGGCTGGTCTTGCATAATTCACTAGGCTAAGATATTGTTGACCACATTCAGTCTATTCAGTGAGAATCCAGCTGCTATGGGTAGTTTATAGTTGACAGTATTGTGATTCCAGCTAACTGGGTTGTCAGTCAACTGATTCTGTCAATCAACTGATTCATGTGTTATGCTTGTAGATGTATACAGTTCTCCAATAACTCTCTTAATAAGGTTATCTTAGGAAAAAGGAGGTAGGATTCTTGGCATTACACCACATATAAAAAGAGATTTTAAATTCTCCACTGGCTTATGCTGAAAATAGGCCATAGTGACAGCTCTACAATGGCCTTATATGATCTCAGTCACTAGTATTATGTAAAAATTCACAAAGCAAGTATGAACCAGCCAGAGATATGAATAAAAGGTTCATTTATGGACTTTAATTGTACAGGCTGAGTTCAGACAACACATTACACCAAAGATGGTTGGTTAGTCTGTTGCTCAGTGTGTTCTATACACCCAACCAGTGTGGTTAATTTATGATACAATGAATTAAGCATGAGTTAGTATCTTCTGCAAGCAAGTCACAAAGAGAAGCAGAAATAAACTAGATCCAGTCATATATAAATCTATTGTTTTAAAATTGCAATGTTTTTTTCACATTCCTTCAAGGTTCCAAGTGTTAAAGGATTATTTGTTTTATATATTACATGAACCAAAGAGTTGCTAATTTTCACCCATTTAAATTGCTTATCAGGTTTAGTTTGATTTTTTAAAGATTCATTTCAACATGTTAAAATGTTCATTTAATTTAAATAGTAGCAAAGCATCAAATTCTAGCATACTTATTTACAGGAATAACCTTGGAACCCACCAAGATCTGAAGCAAATGGAGAGCCTGGAGGGGGGCACAACCCCTTGTCTCCTGTATTTTAAGTCCCAATTTGTTTTACTTGAATGTTTATGAAAGTTGAACAATTTGGTTTTGATAAATACAAATTTATATTTCTATACAAAATAAGAATTTGATTTGCACAATACTAAGCACTAACAGTTCTTCTTGTTCACTGGCATTAACAAGTTAATGTATGTATCTTTAAAACTATACTTCAAATCCATTGAGGTAGTGCAATTCCCACTGCAACACATTAGAAGAGCCGTAGTACAGTAGATCACATTATTTATTTACCTAGCTAGTAAGTTTAAAATATAACCAGTGTTAAACTATGAATCTTGTATATTTTAAAATTTAAAATTTTTAAACTTTTTGATAATGTATTTTAATAATCACTTTTTATCTTTTATGATTATTTTTATCTATTTATTTTATTTAATTGTTGTACACTGCCCAGAGTCACTTTGTGTGAGATGCGCAGCTATATAAATGTGATAACTGCTCTTCAATTAAAAAAATAGGTAGTATTTTACATATATAAAAATGTCATTTGTCTCATAAGAATTTCATAACTAGATATTTTCACAAGGCTATGATTTGGTAGATAATATAATTGAGAAGCACATCTTAATAGAAAATGAATAGAAAAAAATTAATAGAAAAGTCCAATTTATAATTAGAGAAAAAATAATAAAAGCATGTATGATCTTCTCTCATTTCAGATTTTTTTCAGTCAAGAAGGCCACCAACAACTATACAGTTACTCAAGTGTATTAATTAAATGTGTTTTATTTTACATCATGATGTGAGAACATAACACCTATTTAATAAAAGTATACACATTTGTAACTTCACTCAGAATACACTTTTAATGCACATTAAAAAAAGCATTCCATCTTACAAATTGTTTGCAATCCAAATATACAATAGCTTGGAAAACAAATAGTTTAGAAAAACGAATGCCAATGTAAAAAGACTACTTAAACCTATAACAGTAGAGTTTCTGTATGGCTCATCTTTACAGTTTTCTTACTGCTTCATCAATATCAGTAATCTGTTCCTTCAGCTGGCTCCACTGTTCTGGATTTAGAGAGATGCCTAAAATAAACCAAAATAAATCCTTGGAGAATAGTACAGATTCATAGTCATGCTATAACCTTAGTTAATTCTGCAACTGCAGAATTCACTACTGCTTCTAGGGATCAACTCCTGATAATTCTAAGCTCTATGTTAAGAAAACTTCAGATTTAAACACACATAATATGAAAAACAAATTGGTGTTAATTGAATCAAATATTCAGGTGCCTTGTATAACTGAACCTCTCAGTAGCTGGCAACGGAAAACAGTGAATTAAAAGGGGAAGAAAATGGGTAATGGAAGTTTCTTGTTTGCATTAATCAACTGTATAACCAGAAAAAAGGTGTGAAACAGTAACAACTTGAGCAATTTCCTTCAAGCTTAACACTGAATTTTCTGAAAGCGAAACTCATAACACTGCGGTACAGGTTTCTTTAAACAATGAAAAAAACTCAAGTATTAATTCATATCTGACTTTTATCAAACCAAGCGTTTCCTTGAGTTGTGAAAAACAAGTTGACTGGAAAACAGTCATGTTAATTTGGCAGGTTTTGCAAAGTAACTCTGCAGAGCCTACTGTTTCAAGGCTTCAAGAAATCACTCACATTATTTTCCAGCCCTGTTTGAAGTGTTTGGACATGCCTTACACAGAACGTAAGAGCAGTTATGTATTTAAAGTATAATAGATTTAAAAACATAAGGAGCCCTGATGTATTACTTCATGCAGAAATTATGCCAGTTACCATCCAGAGCCAAGGCAGTAATAAGGCAACTAATACCTCCTGTCAAATCAGGCCAGCATCAATTCAGACTGCTGTAACTACCCACAAAATGTTGACCTTTTCTGTAACAACACTTCTTGTGCTTCCAATGAAAGCTGCACAAAGACTGCATACAGCACAAATGGGAATGATGAGCAAGACAGCTAATATAAGTAAACCTACTTATTAATAGCACTCTATAACAATTGGCATCTTATTTTATTTATTTTGCATTTGGATAGCATAGCTAGAAGCATAAAATGCCTTGTTCAGACCTACAGTTTGAGAATTTAGATGGGGCATTATAGGCTTTTTCCCAAATATGGAGCTAAATCTTAGAATCACCTCCGATAGTTGCCAAATGAGTTAAAATGAATCAACTCACAGTGAGGACTCAAGTCTTGTATAATGGTAAACCCAAACTGACAGAGTTGGAAAATACATTCAACTTCTGTTTGATTTCTGAAACAAGTGCCATGTAAGCCAGAAAAGGCCCTAAAATTGCTGATGTCAGAGAGATGACAACCTTCCAATAAATCTATGTCAAACATTTCTGAAAGCATCTTCAGGACAGACACACCATTCAAGGAAGCAACAGAGGAACCTAAACGTATTCAGTTGACTACTTCACACAAACGATGACCTAATATGAATCCTTCACAAAAGGCACAGATTCATATGCCAAAATATGGCATTTTGATAGGTGCCTTTCATAATGGCCAACCAGATAAAACAAATACAACAGAATGAGGTAGAAAAATCATCAGCATTACTTCAGTCAACAAACAGATCACATACCTGAAAGCTGTTCTGTGTAAAAACTTGCAAGTTAAAAAAACCTAGCATTTAAGGAGAAAGCTTTTAGCCCAACCAAGCCCCCTTCCTATTATACAACTTTCCTGCCTTCAGGCCTCATTTTGCACTGTCAAAAGACATACCTCTCAGAACTCTGTACAAGACTCTTTCTATTAGCTCTCTTGTAAGTTAACTAGAATGTCTTGTGTTTAGGTCTGGGGCAGATGGGCTTAATATTACAAATACTCAAAGTAGCATCTAAATGTTGATATAGTTGGCATGCAAGCAGATAATTACCTTTTCTGCCAGGTTTCATTTCACCTTCTTGATCCATCCAGTATTCTCTAATATCAATTAGGACTTTACCTTTGAAATCTCGTACATTGACATATCTCATTTTACCAATCTGCAAATAAATTAGAAAGTTCAATCATTACTTCATTAAGCACCCGGAAGTACTCTCTTTAATCACTGTTAATGTTTTGGATATTCAGCAAGAGTTGTAATTTATATTCTAGAGCAAAGGTGACCAGACAATGGTGTGCCTCTGGCTCCCAATTTTTTGGCAATATAATTCTCATTTCTCACCTAAGGACAAATTTTCACCCTGTAAATTGCTATGCCCTCCAAAGTGGCTGAAAATTTCAGCTCCACCCCTTATGGGATGTCACTGGATTAACAGACACATCCCTTTAACTTTTGGAAGAGGAGGTGATTATATACAGTGTGGATCTGGATTCAAAAACAGCCCAGTCCATTCTGGAGACTGGAGAAGTATTTCTTCTCAATGAACTGTCTCAGAGGAGCATATACTGGCACTGCAGAGAGGCAGAATTAGCATTTTTAAAAAATGCCAGGGAAATAGTGTTTCCAAACCAAATTCCATTGTTGCATTTTTCAGAAAAACACATTTTCTTCGGGTAGCTTATTATCTAAGGAGTGTAGAAGAGCATGTGCAGTATCTATTCAATAATGTTTGTGTTTTACTTAGACTGAGAGCGGCTGCCTTAATTGATCAAGACAGAATGCATCACACCAGTGAGTTCTTTCAGAAATATACATGCTTAATATATTTTTTAAAAGATCTGTTCAGAAAGCTACAGATTTAGCAAACGCTAGTGTTCCAAAACTAATACACCAACAAGTAGATTAAGGACTACGGCAGAGAGAATGTAAAGGGTAACATTAATTGGTCCACCTGTCACAATGTCAGCAGGAACCAAAAAGACAACCAGGATTGAACAGGCAAATATATAAAAATAAGAGGGCATGTAAATACTTTTCTAGAAACATTACTGTAAGGCACACAACTATTGGCATACAATTTCAAACATGTTAACCACCAAGTACTGGCTGGCTTATTTTAGGGCACCACCAAGATATGAAAATGTAGAAATGAACGATCAGAAAGCAACAGCTGCAGAACAAATTTCCTGAAACCATTCATGGAGGAAACTATAACATTAACATAATTCTAATGCTACAAAAGTTAATTGCTTTTATTAGCTATCCTACTATAAAAAAAAAAAGAGGGTGAAGAAAACCCATATAGAGACAATCAGTTTAATAATCTGACCGGGTTTTAGATTCTTGTATCAGCCCTTTTCTCTTCTTACAACTGGAATCTAACTTGAACTTAACCCATAAACACATGTATATTTAAGTAAGAGGAAATAAAAGTTGTCATGGAAATCAAAACTCTTGAATTCAAACCACACCTTGAGTATAGCTCAAACTAATCAGCATAAATCACTTTCCTATGTTCCATGATTGTATAATACCTTATAAACATAAAACAAAGGCTACCTAGAATTTAAACTGACAACTCCAAAAAATGAATATTAATTTTCATTAAAAAATAATCTGCTTCCATTACCATAACTATACTGAATCTAAGACTAGAAAACTTAGACCTCTTTTTAGGTAAATATTCTAATACTTTAGGTTTCTATAGCATTATTCAAAAGTACAAAAGGAGCATTATATATCCAGAAAATCTTATAATAACCTGGTATGGTAAACTCACACTATACCATACATGGGCACTAACATGGGCACAAAGTTCAAAGCTGCAACTGAACCAAGAATAACCTAACTTATGCTGTTAAGTATGATGCTACCTGCCAATTATGTCTACACAGTAATGCAAAGATAGATAATTAATATGCTAATCTCGAAACCTTATTTTCTAAATTTCACCTCAAATGCATATTTAAGAATATTATCCAATCTCTCATTCTTATTCCATAAGAAATTATTTAGCCAAAACTATAAAACTTTTCTGCTGTGGCTCCTGCCCTATGGAACATCTTGCCTCCCGAGGTCTGGTGTGCCCCCTCCCTCATGGCCTT